CTTCCAACCCAAACCATCCCATGACTCTATGACTCCAGGACTCAGTTGGCCAACTGCCCAACCACTTCAGGACTGACCTGAACCTAAAGCACATTATCAGGACATTTGCTTTGTGGGTCTTAACTCTTTCCAGCTAAAATGACCAAGCTTTTCTCTGCAGAGGTCTTTATCTTTATGATAAAATTATCTTTGAGATAAAATAAAAGACAAAATAACGAGCAGGGCTGAAGATAAAGGGAAAAAAAACAACAAATGATGATTTGAAAGCCTCAAGGACTCATGTTTGGGGAAAGGGGGAGAGATGGGGGGTGGTGATGGATAAAGGGACACATCTGGGTTCCTATTTTGGGGAAAGCTGAGGGGGGGAGGGGGGTGTATTTCCTACTTTTGGCCTAAAAAAAAAAGGGTTTCCCAGAGCAACCTCCCCCCAGGAGGTGACCCTGGCCCAGACCCCAACCACCCGCTGGACTCACTTGGCTCTGAGTAAATGGCCTCAACGTCCATCTGTGGAATGAGAAGCAGCATCAGTGCCCATCCCCTGGGGAGCAGGGGGAAGAGCAGGGCAGGGAGGGGGTGACCTTACCCGGAACTCCCCGAGCAGCGAGTCCGTCCGGAAGGACCGAGAATCCACCACCTGGGGGAGGAAAGTCAGGGAAACCAGTACAACCAGCCTCAAATCCTGCCCCCAAACAGCCCAGGGGGATGTTTCCCCCGGGTGCCACGGGGAGGGGGACGGGGGCAGGAGTGAGATGTGCCCACCTGGATGAAGACGGGCGCGTCGAACAGCTCGGCTGGCGACTCGAAGACGTTGAAGAAGAAGGTCTGTAGGGAAGAGGGGTGAGGGGGCAAGGCAGGGGACAGCCCCACCTCCCAGCCTCTCCCACACCCCCTGCTCCACAGGCTGGAGCCTCTTCCCCTCCCATCCAGAAGGATCCGACCCCATTAACAGGAGCAGCCTCCCCAAGGGGCTCCACCAGGTGACTTCTGTGCACCCCAATGAACAACGTGCCCCAGTTGGCTTGAGCTGGGCTGGCTCACGAAAGCCCACCCAGACCAGCTCTTCTGGGGGGCCCCAAATAAAGCACAGGGTGGCAGGTGTATCAGGGTTTGAGGACATCCCAAACAGCAGGGTTGGAGCAGCCGTGTCGGGGACAGGGCTGGGGACAAGTTGTCTGAGCGTGTCCGTCCAGCACACCCAGCTGCTCTGCCCACCCCTGCCCAGGACGGGCCACTGGTGGCTCTGGGACAGGAGCCACCTCAGGGAGGTGATGAAGATGAGCCTTGCACATAGACATGGGAAGCTGGACCTGCTGTTGAAGGGCTCCCAGCTGCTGCCTTGAGCTTCTCTCCCGTTGCAGTTCCCGTGGCCACATCCCAGCCTCTGGTTTGCATCCCTGGGATCCCAACCCGTAACCCTCCCAAGCCTCTCCTGACACCCCCAGGCACAGCAGAGACCCCCACTCACCTCATCAAAGAAGGGGCTGTTGCCTTTGCGTATCCTGGTCCTCTTGGTCTGCCCAGCAGCTGTCACCTTCACCACGGGCCTGATGTTGACCCCAGGGAGCTGCCGGGCCTCAATGACCCTCACCCTGATCTGGGAGAGGAGGGAGAGGAGAAGAGAAGAGAAAGAAGAGAAGAGAAGAGAAGAGAAGAGAAGAGAAGAGAAGAGAAGAG